TGTATAATATTATTATAATAATCAGTTTGATTGTTTTTATAATACTAATTAGTTTTCTAGAATGCAGCTTCCTTTATATTTGAATATTGATTTTAGGTCTATGCCTTATTAATTGACAAATTCTCCTTTCAAGATTAATGCTCCTTAAGCTTCGAAATTTATATTTTAGGAAATTACTAAAGTTGTAATAATAGACGTGGCTAAAGAATTGAAAAACAATAAATACCATTATCTGGAAGTACATTATTTTTAAATGTTGAAGGTTAAATTTTCACTAAAGCATGATGATAACAGTTATCTTAATGTAAGATTTATTGTCCTGCCTTAACATCCCATAAACGGATAGAGTTATCATTACTACCAGATGCTAATGTAGTACCATCAGGAGAGAAATTAACTGTTAAAACTCCACCTGAATGACCATCTAATTTGGCGTTTTATTAACCTGTCTCAACGTCCCATAAACGAATCGATTTATCATCACTACCAGATGCTAATTTAGTACCATCAGGAGAGAAATTGACTGTTAGAACTCCACCTGAATGACCATCTAATTTTAATATTTGTTATCCTGCCTTAACATCCCATAAACGGATAGAGTTATCATAACTACCAGATGCTAACTTATCACCTTTAGGAGAGAAATTGACTGACATGACGTCACTTGAATGACCAAATAAACTGGGTTTTTTATTTCCTGTCTCAACATCCCATAAACCAATAGAAAAATTTGAAATGCTCAATCTTGATCCAACACAAGATGCTAATGTAGTACCATCAGGAGAGAAACAGACTGCGTTTATACAATTTTCAAGACCTTCTAATTTGACCATTTATTATCCTGTCTTAACATCCCATAAACGAATAGAATGATCATGACTACCAGACGCTAATTTAGTACCATCAAGAGAGAAGTTGACTGATCGAATCCCATCAGAATGACCATCCAATTTGGCGTTTTATTATCCTGTCTTAACGTCCCATAAACAGATAGACTTATCTCCACTGCCAGATGCTAATGTAATACCATCAGAAGAGAAATGGACTGAATAAACTGTTGACGAATGACCTCCAAATAAGGCTTTTTATTATCCTGTTTTAGCATCCCATAAACGGATAGACTTATCACAACTACCAGATGCCAATGTAGAACCATCAGGAGAGTAACAAATTGAATTAACTGTTGATGAATGACCATCTAATTTGGCTTTTTATTATCCTGTCTTAACGTCCCATAAACGGATAGACTTATCTCCACTGCCAGATGCTAATATAATACCATCAGAAGAGAAATTGACTGTTAGAATTCCACCTGAATGGCCTTCCAATTTGGCTTTTTGCTACCCTTTCTTAACATCCCATAAACGGATCGACATATCTGAACTACCAGATGCTAAAGTATAACCATCAGGAGAGAAATTGACTGACATAACTAAACTAGAATGACCATCTAATTTGCCACTTTATTATCCTGTTTTAACATCCCATAAACGGATAGAACAATCTTTACCACTAAATTATGATCCACCACCAGATGCTAATTTATTACTATCATAAGAGAAAGCGACTGAATATACCCAATCTAAATGACCATTTAATTTGGCATTTTGCTATCCTGTCTTAACATCCCATAAACGGATCGACTTATCTGAACTACCAGAAGCTAAAGTATAACCATCAGGAGAAAAATTGACTGAAAATACATTACTTAAATGACCTTCTAATTTGGCTTTTAATTATCCTGTTTTAACATCCCATAAACGGATAGAATTATCCTTACCACAAGATGCTAATGTAGTACCATTAGGAGAGAAATTTACTGAATAAACAGTTTATGAATGACCTACTAATTTGGCTTTTTATTATCCTGTCCCAACATCCCATAAATAAATAGAGCTGTCACCACTACTAGATGCTAATGTAGTACCGTTAGGAGAGAAATTGACTGAATACACAGCTTCTGAATGACCTAAAATTTTGGTTTTTTATTATCCTGTCTTAACATCCCATAAACGGATTGATTTATCTGAACTACCAGATGCTAAAGTAAAACCATCAGGAGAGAAATTGACCGAAAACACTTTACTTGAATGACCATCTAAAGTGGGTTTTTATTATGCTGTTTTAATATCCCATAAACGGATAGAATTATCCATACTACAGGATGCTAATGTAGTACCATCAGGAGAGAAATTTACTGAATAAACATTTTATGAATGACCTACTAATTTGGCTTTTTATTATCCTGTCCCAACATCCCATAAATAAATAGAAAAATCTTCTAAAATCACCTGTGATCCTGCACCAGATACTAATGTAGCACCATCAGGAGAGAAACAAACCGAGTATACACAATTTGAATGACCATCTAATCTGGCTTTTTCTTTTCCTGTCTTTACATTCCATAAACGGATTGACGTATCAAAACTACCAGATGCTAATGTATTACCATCAGGAGAATAACAAATTGAACTAACACCTAATGAGTGACCATCTAATTTGGCTTTTTATTATCCTGTCTTAACATCCCATAAGCGAATAGATTTATCAAAACTACCAGATGCTAATGTAGTTCCCTAAGAACAGAAAGAGACTGCAGTAACAAAATTTTCATGACCAATTAATTTAGATATGTATTTTCCTGTCCTAACATCCAATAAACAAATAGACTTATCTTAACTACCAGATGCTAATGTAGTTCCATCAAGTGAGAAACAGACTTTCGTAACAGAATTTTCATGATTAATTTATTTTGATATTTATTTTCCTGTTTTATGGTTCCATAAATAAACAAACATTCTATTGCTTAATGCTAATGTATAATTATTAGGAGAAAAGCATACTGAATTAACCTCACTCTTTCTCCTGATTGATGACTTTATTTTTCCTGTTTTTACATTCCAATAATATATATAACTGTTCTAACTACAAGAAGCTAATGTCTTACCATCTGGAGAAAAGCAAACTTGCTTGAATTCATCATCATGACCCTTCCAAATAATTCCCTCATGAATCCCTAAATTCCTCCACTTACAATTCAATAATTTTGCTTAATTCAAATTAATCCCAGTAATATTAACATTATCAAATTCAGATCCACTCAAGTCACATCTCACTAAATTTGCTCCTAATAATGAAGTATTTCTAATTCTTATATTTATAAAAGATTATTCCTTCAAGTCAACCTTCATTTAAACTAATAAATAAAGAGAATTCGTCCCGCATTATATGAATCTCTCATCAAAGGCTGAAAGGCGTACTAAAAATTTTAGTAATTCTATAATCTTCTTATCTTAGGATATTTTTATGAACAGATATTTTTTAATTTCTTCATATTCATCGATCAAGTAATTATGTTTATTAAATTCATGATCCCTAATTCTTTTGAGAACGTCTGTTATTCTTTTAATGTCCTTCCTTTCAATTTTGAGCATCAACTCCTGACCTAATAGTGATGAATTATCCACCTATAGTATTTTTTATTCAACTTGCCTGCGATTTTGAACTTATGAGAGAAATTCTAGGCAGTTTTAAATTTTTTCATTTTTTAACATGTCTAATATTACTCTGAAAATTTCTTCATCTAATTCTTTTAATGAAGCAAGAACCTTATACAAATCGTTATCTGATTTATAAATTTATAATTATTCTGTTTTTTTCACATTTCCACAGTTCCCCATAAAAAAATTTAATTTAATATTACTATTATTTGAGTTTTATGTATTCTTTATCAAGAAAGAATTAAAATACTAAAAAATTCTTAGAAACGCCTTCACTGTTATCTTAGATAACGCAAATTAATTATTTAATATGATTTGCTTATTATCGTATTTTAATATAATTGGCTAAAAATTAACAATTATAATATCAAATATTTCAACATAAGCTAAGCTAATTCAAATGAAGTTTATTGCAGGTACAAAATATATGCTATCTAGATTAAATATCATATGAGCTGAATAGAAATTTTTCACAGATGGGTTATATGTAGTATTAGATGTTAACTTATAGATTATATCTATGGTCTATTTTATAAATTAGGTAATATAAATTATCTAACATCCATTCTATGATATGAATTAGATTCTAATAATTAGTAAAATAAGATAACACGAAATTTACTTGATTTCAAATAAGTAAATGAAACTGATTCTACAAATTTAATATAGAATCTAATACAACCTATCTTAAGGTTATTGATTGAATATTATTTTAATAAAAAATGAGTAAATAAAATTGATTTTGTTAATATTGTTGATATTTCATTTTTTCCACCTTTTTTGTGAAAAAATTCAACTACTGATTTTTTCTGATTTTATTTCTGATTCATAAAAATTTTTTTGATAATTCGACGCAAATTAGTTAACATCTAAATGTTTGCATTGGATCTTAATTTTTATTTATTTTTAAAGAAATTCGGGTTTGATATAACAATTGATTATAAATCATCTGGACAAAATTTAAGAATCTGGAGTCTATCGATTATTTGCTACTAGTGCAAAGTTTTTGATACTATTTTATTTTCCAAAGCGAAGTTGTATTTATGATTTCTTTGAATTATTCTTCCCTTACCAAAGTAAATCTCCTTTTGGCAGTAACGTAATATAATTGATGTAGTCATTTTTTAACTCCAAAAATCTAAGAAAAAAATTTATTATATGAATAGTGAAAACTCAAAGGATTATTGTTTGCCAAACCCTAGTTGTTTTGAAATCTAAAAATTAAATTTAATTTTGGAAATCGCTCTTTTCTATTGATCCAATATTTTGAAACTTACAGAATCTAATTTTAAAATAATCCTAAACAAATAAAGTACTCAGGTACTTATCATACAATTGGAATATCTTGTTACTCCTTGAAACTGATTTAACTTAAGGCTTGCATCTTATTAAAAGTATTACATGTTCAGATTTATAATCTATCATAATAGCTTAAGGCAAAATAACCATTTTGTGTGAAATGGGTTTTGCTTTAGAATTAACGATCTGTAAAATGGAATTTTGTTAAGATTAGATAAATTTACATCTTTTGAATAAAACGATATATCCATTCTCCTTCATATTCATTCTTAGAATCATTAATTACTTAATTTTAAAGATTTGATAAATCATATTCTATATAAATTTATCCTTATAAAGATAAAAATCAAAAGGTATAAATCCTTAAAAAAACAAATCAAAAAAAATATCTTAAATTATCAATAATATTTTTTTTAATATATATAATTGAAGAAAAATATTATAATTCAAAAAAATCAATTAAAAATAAAAAATAATTAACTTATGGTTTAACAAAAAATAATAAAAAAATCCATCAAAAAATAAAGTTAGAGCTAGTTGTAAAATGATAATTTTTTCAATTAATCTCTAGGAAAAAAGAAAAATTAATTTAAACATAATTAAGTGGGCTAATTTCGTAGACTTCGAAACTTTTATAAATACTTGTAATTATACTTAATTAATTCACTGTTTTTGATATTGGCATCTATTAATTTCTGAGATAACGATATAAATCTCTGTATATTTTGTATATTTCCAAATTATGTAATGATACTTAAGCCAAGGACAATTTTTTTATGGCTCCCTTTTACATTTATTATATTTAGATTCTACTTATATGGAGATGCGAAACATAGCATTATAATATTGTGTGTGATGGAAGTATTTTTGAAGAGCTCTCAAGTTTGTGTTATTATTTATGTTATGTACTAATATTAGATTTATTCATGTCCATAATTAAGCAGCGCCAGATAAGCTACACTTATATCTAACTGTCACTAAGCTGGAGGAGACTATTTCCTTTGATTTGGTTCATATCGGCTTTGCTTTCTAATTTTATTAGATATTCATCACAAATCATGAAGTATAGAAAGCAATCCTTTTTGTTCTGATGATGAAGAACCATCATAATAGCACAAAGCAGTAATCGCTTAAACTCAAATTATTTATGTAATAAACATTTAATAATTTATTGATTCTTGTTTGTTATAGAAACACTGTTCGACATATTATAACATAAGCTGCTAATTTTACGAGTAGTTCTAAAATACAGAACGTTCAAATATTTTGAACTGCATTAGCCAGTTATATATCTATTATTTTATTTAAAATCCATACATTGTGATTAAAATCTCATAACTGGTCCGGCAAGCGAAAAAAAAAAATGAAGCATATACCTTATATCCTTATTTGCTATGCCTCATAGTTTCAATAATATTGTGACGAAACTCTAACTCTCCTATCACCTTTTATCTACCTAAAGCCTGATTGAATCGACGTTTGGAAATTTCGTACATCATACCTTGATGACATCTATGTTGGTTAGTGATGATGAATGCTTTTTTCTTGTTGCATATTAAGCACCAACTGTTCATAACGGCCCTACCTATTATTATTGCATTTTAGGGTATAATTTATCAAACATTTCTCTTTTTCATTACATGCTTTGGTGATTTTTGTTTTACAGTAAATCTAAAATAAGTTTAATGCAACCTTAGTTAACAAAGAAATGTTGGGCCTCTTAAGTCATAGTTGTAAATGTGTATGGATATTTTTATAATACCTCCATAGATTTTACTGACTCATCAACTTCATGTAAGTTTACGCATTCCTACATTTAATATTTTAATTTGTAACAGACTTAAGTAGAATTAAAAAAAATGTTTACTTATTGAAATTAACATTTGAGATTTGTTTGCAATTAAAAAATGGTGAAACAATCGTTAGCTTTTTATAATTCTGTGGAGTTTTTTAATTCTTTAGTATATAATTCCAAACCTCCAAACTCAATCTCAGGCTTGTAGATATTATGTCTCGACTATCAACATCAAGATTTGAATTGTGCTTACAATATAAGTAAGTTCTACAGTCTGTACATTAAGAGTTGATGAAGTTATTAGAGGAACCTCTTTATTAATGTACAATCGATTCCTTTTTTTTAAAGTACCTTACTGAATATGGATGTTCTTGAACATTTTTTGAGCAAATTTTAAAATTAGAAGACTGATGGTTGGACGCTCGGATCAAGTCACAGACAAATATAGAATTGGGCAGAAAATGGTAAAACTAAATCTTCGATCAAATGAATTCAAATATATACTAATAATGAAATATTAGTTGAAGTTCAATAAGATTTAATAACTGAGCAAACTAAAAGGTCTTCTTAATGTAATTAAGACAGTTAAACAGGAATAACTCAATTATTTAGAAACTAACAGTGTATTATGGTTATGAGAGGCAGTGAAATAATTAAAGACTCTTTAATAAGGTTTGAAATATGATTCTGCTACTTAAAAATCCATTTGAGAGCCAAAGACGTTTATCAGCACAGAATATAAATTTAAAAAATTTACTTTAATGCTTCAAAAATTCCGTATTCTAATAGCACAAAAATACTAACTCCTATAGTCAATAAATATTAGAATATGTGGGATAATCAGAGAAGACCAAGCTATTCATAACATTTATTAAGCAATAATAGCTTTCTCTATATAATTAGCAATATAATTAAAACGTCATTAATGTAAACTTTATAAGCCAATCCATCTAATGGTTTATTTAAATTTAATAATCTGAGGCTATTTTCAAATCATTTTCTTAATCCAACACTTTCTTAAATACTTACTTTAAGTCCTTTAAATAAACTTAATTATAACAATATATATTTTCATTAAAATTATAGATTTATACTCTTTCAAGACTTCTTTATAATAGCAGTGATTTTCAAAATTTGTTTTAACTTATTCTATAAATTTTTGTTTGTCCTTTCCGGATAAGGCAATTTATATTATTGGCTAATTCAAATCAAGCATCCTAAATTTTAAGCTATAATACTGTTTAAAACTAATCATTTAACTGCGTTAATTTTATTGCTGTCCCATAATCTCTAATATATCATAATCATCACTACTTACTATTTTAATTAGTTCACACTGAAAATTTGATGTTATATCAATAGCTAAATGTGAAGAATAAATCCATCATACAGTTAATAATCCACATTATTATTGGGAACTTCTAAACTTAAATCAATAACCATAATATTCTGATAATGTCTATATAAAGTATAATTCGAATGCAGAGAGTTAACCAAAAATATCAAAATAGTAGTAACTGAATTTCTTTCAATTCATCTTAAGGGTTCAGACATCACCCAATCAGAGTGCAAAGGGTTAATCATGATGTAGAACTTGTAAGATAAATTTGAAACATTTTCTGGATTCAGATCGATTTAGTAAATTATAACATTTTTTATCGTTGATGCCCAAAAACGATTAAAAGCAGATGTCATAGATTGTTTAATAAGTGTTATTAAGAAAGATATCATTTTTATTCCTTTGGGATACTCTGATCACCATAAAGCAGAAAAGTTAATTTTACTTAATTTAAGTAACATTAATTTAGTGCATGTCATTGTCAATTTAGATTTCCATTAAGATATAAATTCATTCAAAAAAAAATAAACATAAGTAAATGGAGTTTGATGTTTTCTTTTCTACCATATGCATTAGAAAATAGTATATTTAAGGAGAATTATAAAATGGCAATAGCGATGTTTATAAAAGTAGGATTAGAACCAACGTACATGCAGAAAACTATAATAATTAAGTATTTTAAAGTTATTTTTCTGAGTTGGGATTATTAATAAAGAGCTAACATCAGCTTCAATTTGGTAATTTTAAGCAAAATAGCAATAGTAACTCAAGGGAACTTCGGACAATGTGAGAATAGCATATGAATAATGGAGCTCGACTCATAAAGGTGCATTTAGGAAAGGACATTAACATGCATTATCCCAGAATATTAGGGGGATGCAAGAAAATGCTTCACAATAGACAATTTATGGAATTAAACTATGAGAGTTTGTGGCCACATAAGATCCTGTTGAAGAATAAAATTAATTATGAGAAGCAAAAATAGGATTTATGGTAAGAATGAAAATGCCCTAACTTTGAGACACTACAAGGTATTAGACTTAATGACTTTGAACAAAAAGGAAGAAAGCAGGATCGTATCACTTATAGATCAAATTATGAACAGTAAATTTTATAGACTTTCGTTATCGAACAGCAACATAGTATCAATATAATCAAATGAGTTTATTTCTTTCGTTGCCCTTTTTTGTAAACCTCTAGATTCAAATTTGGAAGAAAAAATACTCCTAGATTTTGATAGAATTAATTGTATTTTCATAAATTCAGTGATGTTTTATTTTGAAAAAGCTGAAATCTCTAATTTTACTTGCAAATTATGATTGGATTAAACTTATAATATTTTGACTTGATAATATTGGGCTTGTACATTTAGAGTATTGTAAATGAGTTAATAGGGAATATTGAATGAGGAAATTTTTTTAGAAGAACTGAATATTTTTCTTTTGATTCAGAGTTTAGGATGATAGCAAAAATTTCAAAGAATTACAAGTATTCAGTATTATTTCCTAGTCAGTTAATATGAGAATACTGTAGATATTGAAGAACTTCATAGACTCGATAAATTATCAGAGATTCAATGGATTACAGTTAAATTCAGTATAATAATTGTGAAATATCCCTTTCCATCATATTTCAGTTTGATGCATTGTTGATCTCCAACTCGGAAGTGATAGAGCGCCTGTATTCGAGAACGTCATTTCTCCTCCTAACTAAGAATGTGGTTGACACCAAATAACATTTTAGCAGCACATTATTGTGAAAAGAAATATCCCTACTTTAAAGAATTAAAGAAAAATTATTAGTCTTAATAAATCTTTAATGGAGAATTAAGAATTTTAATACCCAGGGTAATAGCTATTGGAAGTAGCCATTCTAACCCTATTGAAACTTTGAGAAAGATTTACACTCTCCCTTGCTATAGATGAATTAAGTGGATTTAATTTTTCCAACTTAATATTGGTACTAAGATGTTAGGCGAAATGAGATTAAGGAGAATGAAGGTATTCGTAAATGCAAAAGCAAAATTTAACATGTTATAAGACAAAAAGGGATGAGTTAATCGAAATTAAACTATGGTGGCCTTATCTTTAAAATGACAAAGGTGAAATATTTAAATGATAAGATTGTAGGGTAAAATTGAGATGAGGTTATTTTCCAATAATCAGGGCTTTTAATTTTCTGTGCTATCTAGCCTCTAATCGTTCTTCCCTATTAAGAATGTCTTAATCTCCATGTCGATTTACTTATGGGGAAGAGCATGATGTAAATTCCTTTGGAATTGGCTCCCATAAATTATATTAATCAAAAATGGTGTTAAAGGATATGCTCTGTATCGAATGGAACTCATTGTTTAAGAGCTTTGATAATCTCAATTGTAAAGCTTAGGCTAATTAAAATAATTCTTAAATTGCCCATTCATAGCATATAAGATTTCTATGTACACAATTTATTACCAATAAATTAAATAAGCATCAATGGAAATGAACATTAATTAACATTTAGAGACATATAAAGAAAGAATAAGCTGTTAAAATTAATATTTTATGCTTATTAACAATATTGATATATACTTAGGATGATTAATTAAAATTGTTAAACATTCAACAATAGGATACTTGAACTCTTAGTAGGATGAATTAACTGGTTTAACAACTAGACAATTTGATTCATATGAACTATCACAAACCTATACTTATTAGTCTTTTGTCATTTTTCTTCACAGGGAATGGCTTTATTACAAAACTGATTATACAATTTATTATTCAAGAATGAACTAAATTCTAGACATTTTATAAAGTATCTTATTCAATGTGTATTTTTCTTTGGCTCCTTTGAGTACAACAAATGAGTTATTTACATTTTTCTTATTTCGAAAAAGATCATCAGAAAAAGTAAAATTTATAAAGTAAAGAAAATTAGTAATTCCGACCATTTAAATTAGCATACTTGTTTGCTTGATGTTTTGTATTAATATTGGTTGATATTTTATTTTAAGTACAAAAAACTAATATCTATAAGTATATTAAAGATTAAGCTACCTAACAAAATTGATATCAATCCTCCTATTCTACTTTAGGAACTTGATTTTTTATTATTGGAAGGAACTCTATTTGAACTCCAAAAAATGCAGAATGTAGAAAATTTAAAAGAAAATATATTGTTATAAATTTTAAGGAATTTAGGTCACTACTCAGAGAAACTAATAAAGTAATATAATTACAAGACCTTTTGGTTTTGTATCAATCTTATTTACAACTTAATAAACTTTAGATTAAAATGCGAAAAGTTTCATCAATTCTTCATGCAACAATTATTAGCAATTCACTAGAAAATGAGAAATTGAAATACTATATAGATTAAAAGTTTCTAAATGGAAATATCAGATATTTTAAAATTTGATAAAAGCAAAATACAAAAAGTTGAAAGATTCAATTATTGATTGGTAGGGGAGAAATTTGTTTTAAATGTTCTGTATTTTTGTTTGTAATTGAATTATTTTAGATTGCAATGAGAATTTGCAATAATCTTTTATAACTATCAATGGGTTTTTAATCTACAATATGATTTGAAAATGAATTATTTAGTTAGAAAGTTCATTTTTTTTTTATCGAAAGTCATATTTCCCCTTATTCATGAATTTAAATTTTAGATCTAATCTTATATTTTAGTTATATCCATGCGATTCTCATTACTAGCTTCTTCTATATTACTGAATATGTTAGAGGTGTTAGAAATTCCAATATTACTAATTCTTCCTCAATATTAAAATAGAGAATAATTTGAATTATCTTTGTATGTTTATCACAAATATACTAAATAACTATCATGTCCTAACAAATTTCCAGACTCCATTTCCTTAGTGTTATACTCCAACAAGGCTGGCAGTTTGATAAAGGGATATCCACAATTTATTGGTATCTTGGTGGTATAAATCACCGAGTACTTTTTTAAGATAGATATTAGCCTCCTACAAATAATAAAATTTTAATATACTCTAGCATTGTAATGAGGCAATTCAGAAAAGAGATGATGAAGAACATGTGTGGTGCCAGTGTCAAAATGTTAAGCATTTATCCACAAAGGGTAATTTCTATCAATAGTGCATAAATTGCCTAAAAAATATCAATAATTTACCTTTAAGCCATGTCCAAGCTAATTCATCATAATGAGGGATGTCTAAATCATTATGTTACATGGAAGTGATGATTGTCAACCACATATTGACCACCAAATAAGGACCAATGTACAAAGCCATCACTTCAGCAAATGAGGTTGCTAAATACCATTTGTATAGATAATAAATAACTAAGCACATTCCAAGATTTGAAATAGTTGTTTTGAGTAGCATTTTCTTTGGTAACAACTTATTTGGTACAATAAGATGACTAGTGAACCCTCTTGCTGATCCTCCAGAAACACCAATTAAAAAATAAAGAGGCCATCCCAAAACTGCTATATTGAAGATCTAAATGCAAGTAAAGCACTCTTCTCCCAAAATATCTTTCATCTTTTAGTATATTTTTCCCACCTTTGAACCAATAATTACAGGAGTATGTGTTTCACCTTCATATAAATGATTTGTCTTAGCATGATGAATAGCATGAGAATGTTACAATGAGAAATAAGGTACCAACAATGCTTAATGTAACATGAAACCTAAAGCATCATTCAACCACTTGGTATCTGAGAATGCAAAATGACTACATTCATGACCTAGAACCCCTAAGATTATTTCATTATTATACATATTCCTGTGGCGGTAGTACCTGTTATAAAGGCATATATGACCCAAATAGGTAGAGACAACCAATTCAAGGGGATATAATTATAAGCTAAATATGCCAGTAATGTTGTGCAACTAATTGCCTAGCCCACAGAAACTAAAAATCGNGAAATTTGTTTTAAATGTTCTGTATTTTTGTTTGTAATTGAATTATTTTAGATTGCAATGAGAATTTGCAATAATCTTTTATAACTATCAATGGGTTTTTAATCTACAATATGATTTGAAAATGAATTATTTAGTTAGAAAGTTCATTTTTTTTTTATCGAAAGTCATATTTCCCCTTATTCATGAATTTAAATTTTAGATCTAATCTTATATTTTAGTTATATCCATGCGATTCTCATTACTAGCTTCTTCTATATTACTGAATATGTTAGAGGTGTTAGAAATTCCAATATTACTAATTCTTCCTCAATATTAAAATAGAGAATAATTTGAATTATCTTTGTATGTTTATCACAAATATACTAAATAACTATCATGTCCTAACAAATTTCCAGACTCCATTTCCTTAGTGTTATACTCCAACAAGGCTGGCAGTTTGATAAAGGGATATCCACAATTTATTGGTATCTTGGTGGTATAAATCACCGAGTACTTTTTTAAGATAGATATTAGCCTCCTACAAATAATAAAATTTTAATATACTCTAGCATTGTAATGAGGCAATTCAGAAAAGAGATGATGAAGAACATGTGTGGTGCCAGTGTCAAAATGTTAAGCATTTATCCACAAAGGGTAATTTCTATCAATAGTGCATAAATTGCCTAAAAAATATCAATAATTTACCTTTAAGCCATGTCCAAGCTAATTCATCATAATGAGGGATGTCTAAATCATTATGTTACATGGAAGTGATGATTGTCAACCACATATTGACCACCAAATAAGGACCAATGTACAAAGCCATCACTTCAGCAAATGAGGTTGCTAAATACCATTTGTATAGATAATAAATAACTAAGCACATTCCAAGATTTGAAATAGTTGTTTTGAGTAGCATTTTCTTTGGTAACAACTTATTTGGTACAATAAGATGACTAGTGAACCCTCTTGCTGATCCTCCAGAAACACCAATTAAAAAATAAAGAGGCCATCCCAAAACTGCTATATTGAAGATCTAAATGCAAGTAAAGCACTCTTCTCCCAAAATATCTTTCATCTTTTAGTATATTTTTCCCACCTTTGAACCAATAATTACAGGAGTATGTGTTTCACCTTCATATAAATGATTTGTCTTAGCATGATGAATAGCATGAGAATGTTACAATGAGAAATAAGGTACCAACAATGCTTAATGTAACATGAAACCTAAAGCATCATTCAACCACTTGGTATCTGAGAATGCAAAATGACTACATTCATGACCTAGAACCCCTAAGATTATTTCATTATTATACATATTCCTGTGGCGGTAGTACCTGTTATAAAGGCATATATGACCCAAATAGGTAGAGACAACCAATTCAAGGGGATATAATTATAAGCTAAATATGCCAGTAATGTTGTGCAACTAATTGCCTAGCCCACAGAAACTAAAAATCGTAATTCATTTTTTTTAAATAAATGCTGAGGAATTACCTTCCTGATTTCTATATATAATGTTATTATCTTACATCCAAGGGTTATTTCAAGGTCTTTCTTACTCATTATTTTTAATTAAATTTAATTTATTTAAGGCTAAAAATATCAGTTTTAAGAATATTAAAATTCTGACTACATTTTTTAATATCACTTTAAATTTGATTTATTTATTAATTACCAGTTTTAATAAACTTCAATTTTATATTATTTTGGCTAAAATAATTAATAATATGAATAAAGTAAACAATCTTTTATTCCATGAAAAAGAAATAATATAAAATAACAATTCTATTTCAATAATATTGAATTTTTTTACTCAACAAAAGTGTTTACATCTTAAACAAAGTGTTAAACTATTAGTCTAAATTTCTGTTCAATAATATACTTGATGATCACCTATATCCTAACGAATGCTTTTAATAATCTTGACGGGTATGAAATGCGTATCAAGAACTTCATAATTTATTTAACTCAATTATTTATAAGAAAATTTTCAATCATAGCTATTTCTTTTTTTAAATTACAAAGTGTATTAGAATAATCTACTGTTTAGGGCATCCTTATATCATTTTAAAAATTCCAAAATAGTTTCTCATGTATTCAGAAGAATTTCGAGTAAAATATTGATATTGATACATCTGCTTGAGTTTTATAGGGCAATTTATGAGTTGTAAAATCAATTTACTAAGGGCCAAAAGATGGATGATAATTCATCTATTACCAAAAAACCTCGATGATCTGACATATTTATTGTTTAAATCCAAGATAAAATAATATTGCAAAAGATACATAATAATCATTCCTCGGTTCGATTAATTACAGACAAATACAGAGAGTTAAGATGAGAATTAAGGGATGAGGAATTAGGTCAAAATTGATGTTGAAGAAAGATAATTAAAAATGATTTAAGTACTAAAATTGCTTCTGAATAAGTGTACTATTATTGTATAACCTAAGATACTTTTGAACTAAAAAGAATATATTCTTTAGGATCTTGTTTTACAACTTACAAAAATCCTTTATTTACCATAATCTCAAAATACAGCCTATCAAAATCCTTGTTATTATACATGAATCTTTCGGATGTCTCCTTTTCCTCTCTTCAATTAGAATAAAAATAAGTATGGATAATAATAATTTTGTAAATATTTATCAATTTAAATCCAAATATTAAAATACTAGTATTTCATCATCATTGATGATGGGAAAAGTATTTAGCTTTCAAAATTTAATGTATATTAAANGAAATTTGTTTTAAATGTTCTGTATTTTTGTTTGTAATTGAATTATTTTAGATTGCAATGAGAATTTGCAATAATCTTTTATAACTATCAATGGGTTTTTAATCTACAATATGATTTGAAAATGAATTATTTAGTTAGAAAGTTCATTTTTTTTTTATCGAAAGTCATATTTCCCCTTATTCATGAATTTAAATTTTAGATCTAATCTTATATTTTAGTTATATCCATGCGATTCTCATTACTAGCTTCTTCTATATTACTGAATATGTTAGAGGTGTTAGAAATTCCAATATTACTAATTCTTCCTCAATATTAAAATAGAGAATAATTTGAATTATCTTTGTATGTTTATCACAAATATACTAAATAACTATCATGTCCTAACAAATTTCCAGACTCCATTTCCTTAGTGTTATACTCCAACAAGGCTGGCAGTTTGATAAAGGGATATCCACAATTTATTGGTATCTTGGTGGTATAAATCACCGAGTACTTTTTTAAGATAGATATTAGCCTCCTACAAATAATAAAATTTTAATATACTCTAGCATTGTAATGAGGCAATTCAGAAAAGAGATGATGAAGAACATGTGTGGTGCCAGTGTCAAAATGTTAAGCATTTATCCACAAAGGGTAATTTCTATCAATAGTGCATAAATTGCCTAAAAAATATCAATAATTTACCTTTAAGCCATGTCCAAGCTAATTCATCATAATGAGGGATGTCTAAATCATTATGTTACATGGAAGTGATGATTGTCAACCACATATTGACCACCAAATAAGGACCAATGTACAAAGCCATCACTTCAGCAAATGAGGTTGCTAAATACCATTTGTATAGATAATAAATAACTAAGCACATTCCAAGATTTGAAATAGTTGTTTTGAGTAGCATTTTCTTTGGTAACAACTTATTTGGTACAATAAGATGACTAGTGAACCCTCTTGCTGATCCTCCAGAAACACCAATTAAAAAATAAAGAGGCCATCCCAAAACTGCTATATTGAAGATCTAAATGCAAGTAAAGCACTCTTCTCCCAAAATATCTTTCATCTTTTAGTATATTTTTCCCACCTTTGAACCAATAATTACAGGAGTATGTGTTTCACCTTCATATAAATGATTTGTCTTAGCATGATGAATAGCATGAGAATGTTACAATGAGAAATAAGGTACCAACAATGCTTAATGTAACATGAAACCTAAAGCATCATTCAACCACTTGGTATCTGAGAATGCAAAATGACTACATTCATGACCTAGAACCCCTAAGATTATTTCATTATTATACATATTCCTGTGGCGGTAGTACCTGTTATAAAGGCATATATGACCCAAATAGGTAGAGACAACCAATTCAAGGGGATATAATTATAAGCTAAATATGCCAGTAATGTTGTGCAACTAATTGCCTAGCCCACAGAAACTAAAAATCGTAATTCATTTTTTTTAAATAAATGCTGAGGAATTACCTTCCTGATTTCTATATATAATGTTATTATCTTACATCCAAGGGTTATTTCAAGGTCTTTCTTACTCATTATTTTTAATTAAATTTAATTTATTTAAGGCTAAAAATATCAGTTTTAAGAATATTAAAATTCTGACTACATTTTTTAATATCACTTTAAATTTGATTTATTTATTAATTACCAGTTTTAATAAACTTCAATTTTATATTATTTTGGCTAAAATAATTAATAATATGAATAAAGTAAACAATCTTTTATTCCATGAAAAAGAAATAATATAAAATAACAATTCTATTTCAATAATATTGAATTTTTTTACTCAACAAAAGTGTTTACATCTTAAACAAAGTGTTAAACTATTAGTCTAAATTTCTGTTCAATAATATACTTGATGATCACCTATATCCTAACGAATGCTTTTAATAATCTTGACGGGTATGAAATGCGTATCAAGAACTTCATAATTTATTTAACTCAATTATTTATAAGAAAATTTTCAATCATAGCTATTTCTTTTTTTAAATTACAAAGTGTATTAGAATAATCTACTGTTTAGGGCATCCTTATATCATTTTAAAAATTCCAAAATAGTTTCTCATGTATTCAGAAGAATTTCGAGTAAAATATTGATATTGATACATCTGCTTGAGTTTTATAGGGCAATTTATGAGTTGTAAAATCAATTTACTAAGGGCCAAAAGATGGATGATAATTCATCTATTACCAAAAAACCTCGATGATCTGACATATTTATTGTTTAAATCCAAGATAAAATAATATTGCAAAAGATACATAATAATCATTCCTCGGTTCGATTAATTACAGACAAATACAGAGAGTTAAGATGAGAATTAAGGGATGAGGAATTAGGTCAAAATTGATGTTGAAGAAAGATAATTAAAAATGATTTAAGTACTAAAATTGCTTCTGAATAAGTGTACTATTATTGTATAACCTAAGATACTTTTGAACTAAAAAGAATATA